ACTGTTCGAGGTTTAGCTGAATTGGCACTCATTAATACCGAGGAAAGGATTCTTATTCAAGGACCTGCTTCAGATGTGCAGTAGACCCTAAACCCTAAACCCCAAACCCTAAACCCTAAACCCTAAACCCTAAACCCCAAACCCCTAAACCCTAAACCCTAAACCCCCAAAACCCTAAAGTAGACCCGACCTTCGCGGAAGTTTCGCTGACCCTACACCCTAACCCCCAAACCCCCAGACCCCTAAAACCCAAACCTAAACCCCTCAACCCACAAACCCCTAAACCCCAAATCGGCCTCATAGGCATGGCTGATCTCCATAAACTTCTTTTGCGCCGCCTCCTGGCCAGGGTTTAGGGTTTAGGGATAAGAAATCCTGAATCACTAGTGCAACGGGTTTTAGGGTTGAGGGTTTAGGGCATTAGACTTTGTGGATTTTGGGGTTTGGGCTTGGGTTTAAGGGAATCACTAGCGCTGCAGTGTCTGTAATGCTGTCTTAGGGTTTAGGGTCTTGGCCTTCTGAATCAATTAGGACAGAGATTTGGGCTCCTTTATAGTATACTTATAATAAGGAACCCTAAGGAATAATATTGGTAATTGTTTAGGCTTCTATATTAATGCTACAGTGTTTGCAAGGCTGTCTTAGGGTTTAGGGCTTAAGGTTTGTGGTTTGAGCGGTTTGGGCTTGAAAGCTTAGGGTTTAGCGTTTGTGGGTTTAGGGGCTTGGGTTTCGTGTATGTTAGGGGCCCAGAATAGTTAGTCCTAGGGTTTATAACAGCATTCAGCAATCCCATCTTGAACCGTGAACCCTATAGACTTAGATTCCGGGCACAAACAACCTTTAACGCAGGTCCCGCTCACACAGGCACTGAAAAGGCCGATCTCTCCAAAAAGCCTGACGGGTCTAGGGTTCCAATTAGGGCCACGGGGCTTACCCTACACCCTAAACCCTGAGACCCTAAACGCTATAGAGCTGTGGGTCTGGGAGTTTAGGACCTACAACCCCGAAGACTAATGCGAAGGGGCCTTGACCATGACAAGGTTTTGGCGTCTTTTTATACTGTAACTAGATTTTGGTGGTATTTTTATACTATAACTATAAGACTAAGGAACCCCCAAGATAATTATAAGGCAAATAATAAAGCCTCTAAATTAGACATCCCTAGACCACACAACATGAATTGCACTCACTGGACCTGAACCCCACAAAACATAACCCTGGGTCCCTACAAGCTCAACCCCGAAACCCATAACTCGATCATATCAAGACTTTTGGGTTTCAGGTCTTCTAAGTACCAATCTCGTAGATACTTTTTAAGGTCAGAACACATACTACATCAGCTTCGCGTGCTGGGCGCAGGTCGAAAGAACCCGACCAACAACTCTTGCTGCTGATGGACATTATCCTGCACTACCCCTACTAAGGAACAGACAGTTAACTCCACAGTTTAGGGCACTTGGTTTCACGTAAAGCCAGACTTTTCTGCATCACTCCATCTACAGCCTAGTAGTGTAAGGCCAACCCTATATGCCAAGCATCATGAGCATGTATCCCTAAGGGTCAATGTGCCCAAATACTAGATACTTTGGCCTTAAAGTAGTCCCTATATAGGTACTTTGGGGCCAAAGTATATACTATTTGGGCACATGGACCCTTAGGGTATGTAGGACCCTAAACCCTAAACCCTAAACCCTAAACCCTAAACCCTAAACCCTAAACCGGGTAGGGTTCAGCATGCAGAGTTCAGGATTCCGGGTTCACGGCTTCGGATTTTGGGCTCAAGGCTTTGGGGTCCTTATTAGGGTTTAGGGTTTAGGGTTTAGGGTTTAGGGTTTAGGGTTTAGGGTAAGCCTTAGGCAAAGGGCTTGGGGTTTTTAGTAACCGCCCAAATCGCTGGAAACCCGGACTCAGGGCAAACTAGTGCTGGGATTCTGTCATACATGACTCTTAAGGTTACCCTAAACCCTAAACCGCCTGAACCCTAAACCCTAAACCCTAAACCGCCTAAACCCTAAACCATTGGGTTTCCAACTGCTGGGATTCTAGCATGCTTCTACTGCAGAGTCGATGGTTGAATGGCCCGAACAGCACAGGCTCAAACCCGATTAGGGTTTAGGGTTTAGGGTTTAGGGTTTAGGGTGTAAGGTCATTCGTGGCAACTCCGGGGGAACCCCATGAGTTTCCAGCCTCAAAGCCCTGGTATAGGCTAAACCCTAAACCCCAATATCAAGGCCTGCAGAAGAAGAATAGGGCTATCTGAGGCTTCATGGATTTATTAGTTATCAGTATTTGGTTCACAACGGTCTTGAACAAACAAGCATAGCTATAAGGATCAGGAGAAAAACCTATACATTCTGATGCTCTATTTATATAGGACCTGAATACTGCGATCAGTGCGCGAAATACCACAGGGACTACATTATCCCAACGACCCACCCGCAGGCCCGGAACCCTATTGGCCTCAAAAACCCTGCCCTAAAGCCTTGATATTGGTGCCTTAATCATTCGAACAGGGTTTGGGGGTAGATTGTACTAAAATTATAACATGGAACCCCCAAAACCCTATTCTAATTATTAAGGCCGGGGTTGATTTGAACTTAAACTATAATATGCCAAAACCCTATTCTAATTATTAAGGCCGGGGTTGAGTAAACTTAAACTATAATATGCCAAAACCCTAAACCCTAAACCCTAAACCCTAAACCCTAAACCCTAAATAAACCCTAAACCCTATTCTATCTGTGAAGGCCCTAAAAGCCTTAGATGACAAACCTCCAGAGCCATACACCGCATCAGCGATCATCAAGCCTTTTGGGTGCTAGGGGTCTTAGGGTTCAGGGTTTAAGGTTTAGGGTTAAGGGTTTAGGGTTTAGGTTTAGGGAATCCTAAACCCTAAACCCTAAACCCTAAACCCTAAACCCTAAACCCTAAACCCTAAACCCTAAACCCATAAACCCTAAACCGTCGACCCTGAACCCCACTAAAGACGCGAAGCGTCCAAAAAGAAAAAGACTTCAGATCCTCGGCCAGAAAGCCAAAGGGTCCTAAGTACTGTTATGGGGGGATAGGGTTTAGGGTTTAGGGTTTAGGGTTTAGGGTTTAGGGTACAGGGTTTAGGGTTTAGGGTACAGGGTTTAGGGTTTAGGGTTTACTTCCCCAAATCATAATAGTAATTCCTAATATAGAAACCCTACATTCTACTATATGGCCACAAAGCCTTACATCTAAGGTTGAACCCATGGGCCCCTAGTATGGGCCCTTAATCCTGGGATCCTTGTACACCTACTATTTTTACACAAAATGTACCCTTAAGGGTCCCTAGAAAGGCCTAAGGGTCCACATTAGGGGCCCATACTTCTAACCTTAGATCACAGCCATTGAACCCTGAGGGCTTGGGGTTTAAGGGTTTCGGATCTCGGGCACAAGGTTTACGGTTTTAGGGTTTAGGGTTTAGGGTTTAGGGTTTAGGGCTTATGCGGTTTGGCAAAAACATACCCTAAACACCAAGGTTCCTCAAAGCTTCAAACCACCAGAAACCTTCCGATGCCTTGTTGTCCGGATTCTTGTCCGGGTGCCACTTCAGAGAAAGCTTTCTGTAAGCCTCTACTGAGGCTTCGGGTTCACAGGTTTCGCAGGGTGTGTGGGATAAAGTACCCTAAACCCTAAACCCTAAACCCTAAACCCCAAACCAAAAAAAAACCTAAACCCTAGATCCAAAGGGAACCCATGAAACTGAGTTTGGGATGCCTTTGTGTAGACGCTCGTTCTCTGAAGGGGTGCTCTTTGGAGTTCCATGTCAGTTCAGAAATGCAAACGAGTGCTAGAGCCTTACATCACCGTGTATCGTACAGTGGGTATCTGGGTTTCTAGATGGTTCTAGCTGTACTCAGCTGAGAAGGTAAGCAAAAGCCAGGTTTGAGGAGATCGCCACAAAGGAAGTCACGGCCACAAAACGAGAATCACACGTGCCCAAGAACCCCAATAAACATCTTACAACAAAAACTATAGACCCCAGGAGCTGAAAACCTTAGCCTAAACAAGCGAACCTCTCCAATTATAGTAGGATCACATATGAGCCCCCAAAAGGTTAAAGGCTACCAACTCAGCCCCTAAGAAACAGCATCAAAAGCCGAATCAAAGCCAAGAGTTGAGAATTGAAGCCTGAACCCTACGCACCTAAACCCTGAACCCAAAAACCCTACAGCCCTAAATCCCCACCCATGGGCCCCATAGTAGTTCCTTTTGGTGGCTTATAATTAGGATCCTATTAGATAATCCCAAAAAAGGAACTACTATGGGGCCTATGTGGAAACCCGAATCCCTAAACAAACGCCCACGCGAACAAAGCGCCTTCTTGATCTGCTCCTTCGAGGCACCTCACATCTAACAACGAAGGCTCTGCGGATCTAAGGTTCGGGATTCGGGTT